TGTTTGTGTGTGTGTGTCTGTCTGTCTGTCTGTCTGTCTGTCTGTCTGTCTGTCTGTCTGTCTGTCTGTCTGTCTGTCAACAACCCTTTTGTCATGGTGGCTTGGGCCAAGTCTGTCTTTCCCAACAAGGTAAGTGGTTGGGGGAATTGTTTGTTTGTTTATCCCTTTATCTGTCTGTCTGTCTGTCTGTCTGTCTGTCTGTCTGTCTGTCGGTCGGTGTCTCCGTCAACGACGCCTTTGTCATGGCGGCATGGTTAGGGATTAGTTTTTCTATGTGTTTGCTCTCTCTCTCTCTCTCTCTCTCTCTCTCTCTCTCTCTCTTTCTCTCTCTCTCGTGTGGGTGGTTGAGAGTGCTACTTCATAGGTCCAGCTGTAAAACATGATTAATTTTTAACTATGTCCACATGATCTATTACTTTGCCTCTTCCTTTTGCAGTCCATGAATGCTTATTTTGTAAGGTTGTTGAATAGCAGTCAAATCTATGGACTTGTTTGTCCTCTCTGATTTAATTTTGCTGTATACTCTTTTCTCCATCTGCTGTTCTAAATTTGATATTAATTTCAACAAACCGATTAGTGCTGAAAAGGCTGTGACAGCGCAGCTTGACTTTGGCTGTCATTAATGAATTTCACACAAAAGCTTGTCCCTGCTTCTAAAGTGAAAAAACCCAACAAACTAATTAATTTGGCTATATTTTCAACATGCCTGGAGAGACTAGAAACAGTGCATGAATGAATGTCTTGAGGGTAAAAGTTGGTATAGTGACCGCTTGAATGGAATGTGTCAAGAGTCTGTTTCTGCCATCTCTGGAGTTGCATGTTTCTTCTTTACACGAATGAATTGTCCACTCGTGCATCCATGCATCTCTGTGACTTGCTCGACCCTTACAAAAAGGCATGTCAGTGCATTTGGTCTTCTCGACAGACAGTTGTGATAACGTGCATGTGGAGAAAAAATGTTTTGAAAATGTTGGAGACTCTTTTTTGTTGTAGTGCTGTCCCACAGTTTAATTTCCCTGAAAAGTGAGCACAATTTTGAGTCTTGCTGTTTCTTCATGATGTGGAGTAAGAAGTGGGGACTGTTCAAGTGTCCAAAGGCAGGGGTTTGGGTTTAGTGGCTTTTTAAAAACAAGTTTTAAGTCGGAGCACTACAGAGTGGGATACACTTTACTTTAAATAGTCACAGTAGGGTATTGTTTTAGCATGTTGTTACATTATGCTATGTGCAACTTAATGTAAGGCTATGCAATGCCTTAACTAACTTAAAGCAAATTTTTTTTAAATTGAGAAGAATAGAGAGAATGTTATGGACAAACAGCAAGAAAATGTGTAAGAAGAAACTTTATATATGAATAAAAATGCTCCGAGAGTGCATGTTGTCACAGCTGTTCTGTGAGTAGAATGTCGATGATATCGTTGTTATGCTGTAGTGATCTTGTACCTTCATGGCTCACAACTGTAAGGCTAAATTAGAACTAGCTCTGGTTTTTCTTCAACAGTACCAAACAGTACTTAAGTGTAAGCTGTTATGATTAAGTTTTAGGGGTTTTTGGTTTTGTTTTGTTGAGGGTGGAGGGTTGTTGTTTTTTTTTTGGGGGGGGGGAGATGTTCACTGGGCGGGGGGAATACAGTAAGGGTTCAAATGCCATCGATATTGTTGTTCTGGATTCAAAGTATGTGTTGAAAAAATGTTTTATATATATATAAAGGGAGGAAAGCGTCAGGGAAGCAGATTTGATAGATGAAAGGGGGGAGGGG